TTTTATTGCATCTAGCATTTTCTTAGATGTTTCATGATGTCATAAAAATGTTGGCATGTGTGGCCATGAGGCCTCACATGGCCCTACCTATTTTTGGTGATTTCTACTTAGTTCCTTTAGCAATCTCATTTTGCTTAGAACCTAGAAACTATTTAGGCTGCTCCTTCATAAGTTAGCAAGTTGAATGGCTAGTAGAATCGTAGTGGCTAAACTTTCAAGAATTGAAAAATTGAATGGAACCAATTTTGGCATGTGGAAGAGGAAGATGAAATATCTCCTCGTCCAAGATAGAATTATATATGTACTAAATAAAGATACACCAGTACTTGGTGATAAACCAACTAAACAAGAAAAGAAAAAGTTAAAAAAATTCTTAGAAGATGACCTCATAGCTAAAACATCAATGGTAATTCTAAGAGGGCAAGGGAAGACTCTAATAGGGCAAGGGAAAAACCCAAAAAGACATGGATGGAAGTAGTGAGAAGGCGTCCGGTCTAACTAAGGTATGGCCCTTGATAGAGCAAAATGGCTTAACAGGATTCGTGTACCCGACCCTAAATAGTTGGGATAAGGCTCGGATGATGATGATGATGAAATACTAAATAAAAGATATGAAATGGTGTATAAAGGAAAAGCATATGTTGCAATCTTGACACCTCTCCACCTCTTCTCCCTCCTTTTTTCATGGATTAAGGACAAAACATGCATCCCAAAACATCCGCAAATTCCAAAAAAAAACATTTGCAAATTCCATTTTTCCCTAGAAATTGGATTTGGAGCTCCATTGCAATGGATGGCCCAGAATAGATGGTACAATATGAAGTGGTTTTAGGGCTCAATATCCATAATCATGAACGTCCAAAGGTTGGATTTACCGAGTTGTGTCCTCAATCCATCTGTCTAATTGATTGTTGAGGGAATGCTTGTGCCGGTTAATGGAGACTTAGATCATATACCGTAGCTATCCACCCACGAAAATCCAACTTTCCACATTTGTTGGACAATATAGATTAGATCATTTGACATTGTAAATCAATCTTGACTCTAACCTCGAAAAGAAGAGAAAAGAAAAGACAGTGTAAAATCGGTCCATCGTAACGGACTGTTCATGATCTCTTGTGTCGATATGTGAGTTTGTGTTTTGTTTGCAAAATACAGAAAATGCTCCAAGATACTAGAGAAAACACCTATGAATAAAGCAACAATTTCGATTAAGAAAGATTTGGACACCGGGTTCGGGAACCACCCGTACTCGTGTCACATGAGCCCTCTTAGACCCTTGGCTTTTATGTGACCAACGGGATATGCCTATCGCATCCAAGTTCACAAATGGATAAGGAAAGAGCATGAGGCACAATAGATCTCCCAAATTCCAACCAATTGTTGGATTTGTATATTAACCTCAATGCCGGGTACAACAAAGCCCAAATCAAGAATTCCAAAGAAGTCCCTGCACAATAGATTTACAAGCAACAACAGTAACTAGGAAGACCATCACTATAACCTAGCATTCAAGGAGATTCAACCGTTTCTCTCTAGCCTCAACATGGTATCACCATAACTACCCCATGAGTTTAACACCCATTGAAAGCAATGTAAAAGAGTCCAGCTACATGCATTGGGAAAACTAGGAAAAATCTCAACCATGGGCAACTGAATCTCCAATCTACTCCACTGACAAACTATACAGATGCCTCCTCCATCATGTCAGCAGAAACAAGCCAAACCCCAATTCAAGTTTTTGCATAACATACAGACCAAATTGCATTTCTCGAGATTATGGCCCACACTGCTCAATGAAACCCTCCGCGCACAGGTAGAAGGCCTGAAACCCATATTCAAACAGTTCGGAAAAGCAAATAAAAAGCCATGCTTCACCAATGAATGGCTAGAAATGATCGTTAAATTCCTTTTTATAGTAATGATCCTTATGATCTGAAATACCCGCCAAACACAAGTTCGCCATGTCAACCATATCTAGCATCCACATAGGGTTATGTGACACCAAATTTCAGCCAAATCAATAGTTCGACCGGTATCTACAGCCATGGGAAGCCCAATTCTTTCGATTATAATTTGTAGTTTCATTTTACCATGCAATAAGAATACATAGTGGTTCAAATTTGCTCATCAAATCAAATTGTAAAAAACATGACCAAACTGTGAATCTGATACTAGGGGCAAGTGACACAGTATACCGGCAAATAATACCTCGCAAAATAACTTCGTTTTAGAGAGAGAAATAAAAATCGAGAAAGTATCGCAAGCGGAAGGAACAAACATGCAGATCCGAGTATTCCGATACGGACCTACAAGCACAAGGGAAAAAAAACAACCCACAAAGGGCTCTCTCTCTCTCTACATAACAACTTTCTTTTTCATTAATAAAAATCAATCACCATCTCCTTTACATGGCACGACTCTTTTGCTACCTTCCCTAAAAAAATTCCGCTATAAAAGCATACACCTTAGCTCCTAATAGTAAGCACATAACCTTATCTCTTAATAGTAAGCACATCTTTATCTTCTATAAAGATGCAAGCTTCCAAAATACAACCCTTCCTAAAAAGTAAAAACGGCCCTATCCCTTCCGAAAATAACTTCATCCTTTTAATAACCTAATTTATTCCTACTAATAAAGAAAACAACCTAATCTCTTATTTCTTTAGAAGAAAAAAAATACGGACCTACTAAGAAAAGTACGGACCTAAAGACAAGCTTCCTAAAACCAAAATTGCAACCTTAAATCCTAAAAATAAATAATATTCCTAAAACTAACCCCAATAAAAAAAATAAGAAGTCTACCCACATCAATAAAAATAAAATTAAAATTTTGTAGCAACCAGATTTTGGTCTGCACATTCTCCCCTCAATGGAGAAAACTCGACCTCGAGTTTCAAAATGCACAAAGATGATATTTGTATTAGTCTCGCATCCTTCTTCAACCCGAATATTGTCAACACGATCCCGAATATTGTAACTACAATCTTGAGACCCGTGGGTTACTACACTAATTAAAAGATAACAATTGTGCATTGAAAATGATAAGCCCTCGAAGAAAGGGTCATTAAATGTTGAGTTTTCAGCCACATAAACTTGCTGCAATTGCTCAAACTTAACCTTAGGCCACGTATGCATCGGTTTCTTTGTCATATATCTCCAAAGGCTCGATCTCCTCTGAGTTCCAGTCAACATCTTGATTCTCCACCTTTCCATTGGTGAGAAATTAGATACCTTGCTGCCTCAAGGACAACTTCTCTCCTTTCATCTTGCTCTTCATCAAATACAGGACCTTCATCAAATATGAGATCACTTTGGAATGATAATTCTAATTGAAGATTCAAAACTATCGGCTCTTTATCAAACTTAACTCGATCACTCTCCCAACCATGAGGCTCCAAACGTAGAGCGTAAGCATGGAACAAGTTCTCAAAAATAGCATCCGACTCACTACCATCATCATCGTGTGCCTGGGCTGGATTTTGCACCAAGCATAAGGTCAACTCCTCTACTTGCCTTCTCAAATTTTCGATCTCTTTATCTCAAAGATCTCTGAGGTCTCATTCTCGTCAGATGGGTTGAGTACCGATATCTGGCCATAGACCATGTCCACGAGCCAAGATGCCTAGCAACGAACACCACAATCCACAAAAATCAACTACGTTTTGATATCACTTGACGAAGTAAAAAATTACCTACGAATAATACCTGGTAAAATAACCACGATTTTTAGAGAAATAGAAACCGCAAAGGAAATCGCTAGCAAAAGGAATGTGGATCCGAGTATTCCGCTACAGGCCCACAAGTACAAGAGAAGAAAAAAACTCACATCTACAAAATAACTTTCTTTTTCATTAATAAAAATCAATCACCACCTCCTTTACATGGAACGCCTCTTTTTATATCTTCCCTTTACATTCTAAAACGATTCCCCTTTAAAAGCAAACAGCTTATCTCCTAATAGTAAGCACGTCACCTTATCTCCTAATAGTAAGCACGTCTTTATCTTCTATTAACATTCAAGCCTCCAAAACACAACCCTTCCTAAAAATAAAAACGGCCTTATCCCTTCTTAAAACAACTTCATCTTTTTAACAACCTAATCTACTCCTACTAATAAAGAAAACAACCTAATCTCTTATTTCTTTATAATGTGAAAAATACAGACCTACTAAGAAAAGTACGGACCTAAAGACAAGCTTCCTAAAAAACAAAATTGCATCCTTAAATCTTAAAATAAATAATATTCCTAAAATTAACCCTAATAAAAAAATAAAAAGTCGACCCACATCTCTAAAAATAAAATTAAAATTTTGTAGCAACCAGATTTTAGTCTACATCAGTAAGGCTGAAAATCTAATGACAGGCGCAAAAATGTAAACTAAGGCATCATAGCATAAAATATATTGATCTCCTGGGACACCGCATCAAATCAAGATCTTACTCATTCCCCCAAAACAAAAAAAAAAACAAAAAAAACATCAAGATATTACTCATGTCAAGAGAGAATGATGCACCACATGAATATGATATTCAATAACCTAGCAAAACTAATATCGAAGAAAATTATATTGCAGTTATTCTAGTGGTACTGAACAAACAAATAGTATGCTATCAAAGTCAAATTAAAGCTAAAAAGAAAAAATATATAATTACGTAGGACAAGCAGCGTTAGGAGAATATTGAAGAATAGACTGTATAACGCACTGCAACATGCTGGAATTTTGCCTCAAAAGTGTTATAAAGTACATGATCACACAAGAGGGTTCACATTCAGAATGCCCAAATTCTGTGAGGACAGACATGTCTCAAATCCATTGAACAGTTACAGTATTGAAAGGAAAATCAAAAAGATAATATCCCTGTGAGGAAAACACATGGACTTCAATTAATATAGCACCTTTAAGATTAATATTTCAGTTGCAAACTAAAGAGAAGTGACGACTTCTTATCAATTCCAACTATATTTGATAGATGTGACATGTATAAACTATACTCACTTCAGCAACTAGAATCAGCCAAAATGATATCATTTTACGCAGCGTCTTAATGCTCCCCACAGCTTCAGCAAGCTTAACAACAAAGCTCCCTGGGGGCGCACCTTGGATATCCCTTGGTAAATGTGCCGTGCAAAAGGTGGAAGAGCAAGAGTTCTTTTCCAACTTGGGAAATTGCTCCTCTGCAGATATCTTGCAGATATTATAATGAAAGTGAAAGACCATCAAGTGATAAGCATACAACAATGACAACATATAATTCACATATACAAGGATAAAAGCAACAATAACATCAGTGGACCACTTTTTACCTCGATTAAATAAGGTATGCAGTAAGGAACAGATTTCTTCATCAACACTATATTCTAAATCTATTTTATCCTCTTTTTCACGAAGAACAAGTGATTTCATTGCAGAAATACTAGAAACAAAGCCAGACTTTTCGTTGACGGGTGAAGTTTCTTTGTGTACTATCAAGAGATCTTTCATCGACTTGAACTTCTTCCCGGCCCTAAAAATACAACAGTGCTATTAGAATGATGCTTGACGAAAACCAAATAATCTAAAATTAATAATCTTCAACAAATGTAAAGGATGGAAACTCTGAGATAGTATTCATAGAATAATTTTGCAACTATATTAAACCTTTTTTTTTTTTTTAATAATGTTAATGTTGTATTACTATATAGAAAGAAGGAATACAGAGAGGACTGAGAATACCCATGAGACAGGTATCTCAGTCAAAAAATTAAGCCATTAACCCTATACAACTTATATCCTTTTGAAGTGGCTGTATCCAAAAGATTGAGGTCTCAAAAAATTGGGTTTATAAGCACGCCCTACTACATAAAGCAACAACCAAAAAATATCTAGTGTCCTAGAAGACCTCGATGGTCCAATGCAAAAAAGGTGGACCATTCATTGTCTTCCATGTGTGGTCATCACCGCGCACCATCTTTAGCGAGAAGGTCGGCAAACTCGTTCGACGTCCACCATGTATGCCTCCAATAGATATTGGTATCCCTGCATAAGTGGTAAATTTCATCAAATATCCTAGAAAGGTACCAAGGAGGGGTAGTGGTGCCTGCTGCCCATGATAGAATGTTTTTTGCATCTCCTTCCACCCCTAAGGATTGGCCCCAAAATGGATTAAAAAAATTTAGGCCCATTAGGAGTGCCAATGCTACAGCAAATTGTGAATCTCCATGTCCGACATATTCTGAATATGTCATGAGAACATTTCGATTGTGGTCTCGGAAGACTCCCCGTACTCTTGAAGGGCCCGGGTTTCCCAAAGAACAGCCATCGAAGTTAAGCTTTATGGCATATTCTAGAGGAGGTAACCAGTTGTGAGGTCGCTGTAACTTGAAAGGCTGGAGTCGGATAATATTGTCCCATTGCCTGAGGAAAGAACTCATAGGAATCCCACCAAAGATGCTCTGGGTAGAATCCCAAAAAGTTACGAGTGATGTAACCTTATGAAACAGCCCTGAAACTTCATTTTTCTGTCCTTGAAAGACCCTCTCATTTCTTTCTAGCCATAAAACCCATACGGTAGCAGCGATTGCTGCCCTCCACAAGGTTCTACCTGCTTTGGGCCAAGGACCACCTGAGTAATGAAGAAATAAATCTTTTACCGAAGGTGGGAGGACCCATTTGAGACTAAATAAATGTAGAATCAGCGTCCAAAGCTCATAAGCCACACTGCAATGTAGAAAGAGGTGGGGATTTGACTCCTCCTCTTTCAGGCACATTACACATCTGTTTGGGAGTGGCAGACCTCTTTTTTGGAGCTGATCAAGCGTGAGAGTCCGTTGACAGCCAGCTATCCAATTGAAAGACTGAACTTTTGGAGGAGCTATTGTGTTCCATACTTTGGAAAGAGGTGAGATGGGATTTAAAGGGAAAGTAGGAGGCTGGATAAGTTTCTTATAGAAAGAGGCTACTGAAAACTTACCAGATGGGGATAGTGTCCATACCAAAGAATCATTCCCTGATGAAGGTAAGAACACCGGGTGAAGAGCAGCCGATAGAGTGGTGAAAGCTAATGGTTCCTCTTCCGAAAGATTCCTTCGAAAAGTGGGGTTCCATGTTCTACGCCCCCCTGCCAAGACCATTCATCTGTAATACTAAACTCTTTGTTGAAAGCAAGTTGAAAAAGGTTAGGGAATAGGTCCCTAAGGGGAGCATGTCCAATCCACAGATTAGACCAGAAGCGAACTCTGTTTCCTTGTTTTGGATGGAAACGAAGCGCTTTCTTGAACTGAGCAAGCGAGGAGGCGAGAGATTTCCAAACTCCTGAAGCCATGCTTCTTGAGAGCCTTTCAGGTACGCAATTGTGATATGGAATGTTATATTTATTCCGAATTACCTGTGCCCAAAAAGAGTTTGGTTGGTGGCCAATCTCCACCACCACTTCCCTAACAAAGTCAGAATATGCTTTCTTAGATCTTTGATACCTAAACCACCTTGGGCTCTGGGCAGTCGGACTCTATCCCAAGAGATTAGATGACTCGTCTTTTCAGGCTTGGCCGGACCACAGAAAGTTCCTCATCAGTTGGTCCAGCCTATTTGACACCGACGCTAGCATATGGAAGATGGACATCAAGTAAATAGGGGAGTTAGCCCGTGTAGCCTTGACCAAAGTAGAACGACCGGCCAGGGAAAGGAATCTTCCTTTCCATCCAGCTAGACGCCTATCAACTCTACTAATCACTTGGGCCCAATGTCTCTTTTTTGGTTTCCCTAAACCTAAAGGTATCCCCAAATAAGTGGTAGGGAGGTCGTCTACTATAAGATCCCAAGATGGAATCAGGGATCTGATTTCTTGAAGTGTGAGACCCACTCCCATCATCTTTGATTTTTCCATATTTACTTTAAAGCCAGTGGCATTCTCAAAGCATTTGAGGAAGATTCTGAGGTTCTCAATTTGCTGAGGGACCGCATCTAGGAAGACTAGGGTATCATCTGCGTATTGCAAGTGTGATACCGATGGACCTTGTGAGCTATCAGAGGAAAGCCGAAAGTAGTCCTTCCTGGTAGAGACGAGAGATAGACCTGCTGAAAATCTCAGTGACTATAGTAAAGAGAAAGGGAGATAGCAGGTCACCTTGACGGAGCCCCCTCGAAGCAGCGAAGAATCCTTTAGGACTTCCATTTATAAGGACCGAAAAATGGGGGATAGAAATGCAGCCTTTTATCCATTTTCTCCATCGAGGACCAAAATTCATTCTAGCCATCGTCTCATCCAATAATGACCAGTCCACATGGTCATATGCTTTCTCCCAATCGATTTTGAAAATCAAGCCTGGTTTCTTGGATAGGTGCTGAGAGTGGATACACTCATGAGCTACCAACGCACCATTCAGGATCAGCCTTTCTAGGATGAAAGCTAATTGGGACTGCGAGATGATGAAAGGAAGGACCTGCTGGAGTCTTGAAGCCAAAACCTTGGCCAGAATTTTGTATGTTGAGTTAAGTAAGCTAATTGGACGAAAGTCCTTTAGCTCTTCAGCACCTTCTTTCTTGGGGACAAGGGCTATAAAGATGGCATTGATAGGTTTGTTGAAGATCCCCTTAGATAGAATTCTTCAAAGAAGCTCCTAATATAAGGTAGAAGAGTAACCAGGATTAAAGGGGGCCATGGGAAAACCATTCGGCCCCGGATCTTTGTTTTTGGCTAATTGATCAATGGCGTTTGAGATTTCCTCAATTGTAAAAGGTCTTTCCAACTCGCTGGACCAATGAACAGGAACAGTAAGGAAATCCAAAGTGGTCATCCTTGGCCTGAGTCCCACAGGGGCAGTATAGAGGGACTTGAGGTAATTTAGGATGGCAACTTCGATTCATCTGGCTGAGTAAGAAAACTATTATCCACCAAATTGTGGATATCAGATTCTCTTTCCTTCTACAATTGGCTATACGATGAAAGAAAGCAGTGTCCTGGTCCCCTGCTTTTAACCAATTGACCCGAGATCTCTAGTACCACAAAAAGCTCTACTTTCTTGAGTGTAGAAAGGTATTCCAGCTTGGATTGGATAAAGGTATCAAGGTCTTGGATAAAGTTGAGCAAAGAGCTTCTAACTGAGAATAATTCCATTGCTGAGATTGGGTCCAATTTTTCAAGGACTTTTTGAGCAGCTGGATTTTGGTTTGTAGCTTGAATCCCTCTCTACTCGAGACTTGGGAAGAGAAAGAATTCCACCAACTGGGGACAGAGTCACAAGGGACTGCTCTTCCAACCAAGCCAATTGAAACCGAAAGGGTTTTGGCCCCCTACAAATCGTCTATGTATCAAGAAGAATGGGGCAATGATCCGAGGTAGGTTTAGGAAGGGTAAGTGCGTGTGAATCAGGAAAAGCAACTTCCCAATCCAGGGACAGAAGAAATCGATCCAGTTTAGCCAGGGAAGGCTAAGCAAAGTGGTTGGACCAGGTAAAGGCATTCCCTTGAATTGGAATGTCTACAAGTTCTTGTCGAGAGATGAAGTCAGAGAAATCCAACATTCCCTAGGAAATATTGGTGTTGAAGTTTCTCTGATGAGACCATCGGCTGATATTGAAATTACCGCCCAGGCACCATGCAGGATGTGGTAAGGCTGCTACGAGATCCAATTCAGACCAGAGACGGGGGCGAAGGGAAGCTGAGTTTGGACCATAAATGGCAGAGAATTTAAGCAGCACACCATCTGTTGTCCTGGAGAGAAGGACGATGACCGAGAAATCTCCTATGTGAGATGAGAGGAGATTAAACTCAGTTAAGTTCCAAATTACCCAAATATCGTCAAAAGCCCGGTAATGATTCCCATTGACACGGCCTTCTGCCCAACACGCTGCGAATAGATTGCAGAGTAGGCTCCGGTTGTTTCGTCTCTGTCAAGGCAAGGATTGATGCGGAGAGTTTTATTGAAACGTCTCTCACCGAGTCCCTTTTGGACTTCTGTCCCAACCCTCTAATATTCCAAGAAAGTAACTTCATTAGTTAAGGGAAGAAGCAGGGGGGTTGGAGACAGTCCTAAGCGACCGCCTAAGAGTGGGAGAGGTTTGGGTGGTGGTGGGAAGAGGCTTGACATCAGTTCCAAATTTGTCATAAGTAATAAAAGAAAAGAGGTTTAGCAATTCTCATTGTCTTTTGAGGTTCACCTTGAACCTGGTTTGGGCGTCCGCCTGCAAGAACTGATGTGTGGGGCCTTCGGGTCATGGTGTGCAAATCCCATTACTCTGTAGATCTCCTTCATCCTACCAGCTTCTCGAGTGTTATCTTTTCCACCAGCTCTCTCTGGATCGCCTTCTGCGGAATAGGAGGAAGAGGGTGTATGGGGTAGTGATTCAGGAGCTATCACAGAAGGTTCAGTGGATTAGGAGGACTGGTCAGGGAAAACAGGGGAATATAGGTCAGACGGCAAGGACACTGGTTCACCTTGGCTAAGATCAGGTGAAGGTGCCGCGGGAAACTCAGAAATTGAGTTATCCTGGGAGGGAGCAGAAGCAGGTGGTGAACCAAGAGGGGGCT